ATATTCTGCCTGACACGTTCTGAAAGACAGGCTTGGCTCTAAGATTGTTCTTTAAAATGGCATGAAGCCTCTTTGGGATTATAGGAAAATATCACTGATTTTGGTGGGTTTAGCTGACATCTTCAGTGGGTATAGAAGCAGAAGTTAAATGTCAGCTCTATTTCTGAGCTGCTGTTTGAACCTTCGTGGTTTCTCAATGTTCCTGCAAAATGTATAAATTCTAGCTGACAAATCACAAGCAAACTGCAACAGTGAAGGTAATGCATTGCCTCGTGAAGCTGCAAGGCTTTGCAAATAGTGGGCTGGATGTCGTGGTCACGATCCTGAACTGCAGTGTGCAAAGCTCCTTAAAGAAACTTACTAATGCAATTCTGTTTACATTTAAATAAGAAGTGACCTAATTCACACTTCTCAAACCAATGCAGAAACCGAAACCCAACTATCCTTCGAAATTTGCACTTATCCTAGTGTTGCAATACAGTTCTCCAATAAAACAGCATGTACAAAAATGCATATCTTTGGGGAGAGATGTGCGTAAATTTGCCTATATTAGTTAAAATTAACATACAGAAATATGTTATATGCCAAATGGTGTGATCGATGTTGTTTGAAGGCAGAACAGCTGATGGAACGGAAGCATGGGTACAATAGCAATGATCAATACATTGGAAATAAAACTTGTATTTTCTGCTACAGCATTTGTCTTCAAGAGGGGCAAATCAACAATGTTTCATTTTGATCATCTTTTGTTTCCCAATACATGGCCAGGCAATTGAAATTAAGATCATAACAATCAGTTAGCAATTAGATGCAACCATGGATATAAAACATCTAAACCTAATTAATCAAAATTGTAGTTCATCTGGGAGAGTTCAAGGTTTATACAAGACGGAAAAGTAGCTTCTGTGCTAAGGAAATTAACAAGGCAGATAGATGAGATAAAACATACAGTGGTACCTCGGGTTAAGTACTTAATTCGTTCCGGGGGTCCGTTCTTGACCTGAAACTGTTCTTAACCTGAAGCACCACTTTAACTAATGGGGCCTCCCGCTGCCGCCATGCCACCGGAGCACGATTTCTGTTCTTAACTTGAAGCAAAGTTCTTAACCCGAGGTAATATTTCTGGGTTAGCAGAGTCTGTAACCTGAAGCGTATGTAACCTGAAGTGTATGTAACCCTAGGTACTGTAATCTGAATTGGATTTAGTTCATGTCAAACTGGCCATCCATTTCCCCATCCCACCTCCCAAGCAACCAAGGAAAAGTTAATCACTTTCAGGTTCTCTGAGCAACTGACCAAACACTTTTAGTTTTCTCATGTCAATGGAAGAGAGCATGTATGGAGGCCGGACTGAACCCTGCATTTATTTCTTTAAGTACACTTCATATGCAAAAAAGCTTCATAAAATCACTTCGGCATGAACATAAGGGACATCTGATTGCCTTCTGTATTTCCATATTGCTCCTCATTTGCAATAATAATAATAATAATAATTTCATATTATTGGATAAAAATTGTCCTTATTTCATGAATTCCAAGTGGATTTATCCATCATGACTTTCTGTTCAAAGCTTGCTTCTGTCCTTATTTCTCTTGTACACATTACAAATTTTTCATGCCACTCTAACCTTTTTCTCAGATTCTTAAAAAAAAAAGTTTCTGAAATGTAGCTCTATGCTTTTCAAAATCATTTTTATTATGCAGGGCAGCTAAAAGTGCTCAACTCAAAGCACCTGGGTTTTCTGAATAATACAGCCACATCAAATCTGTTTCTATGCCTGGCTGGCAGTAGGGAAGAAAGGGGAAGAAAGGAACTGGCAGGTTCTTAGCTATACAGCTGGAAAGTTATCCCTATTAAGATTAGTTCATTTCGCAAACACTAGGGATGGATGAATTTGTCAATTTTTGCTCTCTCAGTTTCTCATTTTTTCCAATCTTAAATTTGGTTCTCCGCATTTCTGGAGGTGGGGGGACGACACACATGTATAGTGCTACCTCAGGTACATACGCTTCAGGTTACATACGCTTCAGGTTACAGACTCCGCTACCCAGAAATAGTACCTTGGGTTAAGAACTTTGCTTCAGGATGAGAACAGAAATCGTGCTCCCGTGGCGCGGTGGCAGCAGGAGGCCCCATTAGCTAAAGTGGTGCTTCAGGTTAAAAACAGTTTCAGGTTAAGTACGGACCTCCGGTACGAATTAAGAACTTAACCCAAGGTAACACTGTAATTTCCTCAGCGTATTAGTGTAATTTTTTCCCTAACAAATTATTTTTTTATGCAACTTTTCCTAATATACACAATTTTGCAAAGATGTTTACCCAATACAATTCTTTTCCATATGCCGTTTTCACAGATTTTATGCACACTTTACCCTACTTTATGCATTTTTTTTACTGGGCTGGGGAAATTAGGAGAAATGTGAATTTCAAAGGACAGCTGTGTGTCATTTCATGTATTCTTTTAGAAATCATGAATTTGGTAGGTTCACCTTTAAATGCAAACTTAATTTAATTTCTCCACCCTGCCCCTGCCATCTTTGTCAAATATTTAAACAGATTGTTTGCTACTTCATATTGTTTGTCCTAAATTTACTGACTAGAGAAACTTGCATGTGAAATGTTATCCCATATCGTAAATAAAATCCCATATAGTATGGGATAAATACATTAAATAAATAAATAAAATCATTTGCAGGGTTTTGAGACACAAAAGAAAGAGCCAAGGCTATTCCCTACCCCCCCCCTTTATTTGGGATGGGGGTGTCTTTGATGCCACACAAAGACCTTTTTATTTTCACTGGCTTTTAAAATCTTATGCTTGTTTAGCTCTGTTGCTTTATCTTTTGCTTTAAAAAAAATATCTTTCAAATCTTAACCCAGAGTTGTTTCAAAGCAGTGTTATGTGTATTGTTTTATGCATTTGGTGGTTGTTTTAAATTGTTTTTATTTTGTGAGCCACTCTGAGAACTCTTTTGTTATAGGAAGGCAAATGAGTCATGTATGCAAGTAAGTTTAGAAAAGAAAAAATCAGTTCAGGTTGTCTCAGATGACAGGGGAGATCTAAAACACTCATTGAAGCAGCTTCCCAAGCCTGACATCATAATCACATCTACCATGGAGTAAGTCTCATTAAACTCAGTGGGAATTACTTCTGAGTAGAGGTTCTTGGAAACTGAGCCTTAAGCCCTGTCACATATTTGGAGAATCCCTTGATAAACCTTCTTTTAACTTTGGTTCTGTGAATTTTGGCTTTGAACTTCACAGCATCCATGTATGTTCATCCATTATTTCAACCAGAGAGTGATTCAGATTCTGTCTGATTAGGCCTGGTCTGGGGCTATGGCAGGAAGCGCACATTCATGCCCACACATTCAACTGCATATCGTTGAACAATATGGTGATTTATATCCACCAAGATATCAGTTGAGTTATGCTGCACCAGGCTGGATTGTTGCAATATGCTTTTGTAGTGCTACCTTTGATTTGGAAACACATGCACCTGATGCTTGTATTAGAGTAAACAAGGAATCTTTAGTAGCATACATGTACCATGGGCACATGTGGGCACATACAGAAGTGCATTTTCTGAAACCCTGGAGAGCTGCTAAAAGTCAGATAAAACTGAGCAGACAATACTGAGCTAAATGAACCAATGAACTTAGTATAAGGCAGCTTTCTACACCCCTGTGGCCCCACACCAGTGCAATGCATTACTGGCCGTAAGCAGCATTTAGTTGTGAGTCAAGGACCTGTCACCCGCTTAGGGATAAATAAGACTCAAGGACACATGTATTTTAGGTTAATGGGCCAAAGAAGGCCACAACTTTATTAGTTACAGTATGTGAATGGTATTGGCATAAGCATTGGATCAAACAAGGTATATTTGACTCCACCCCGCTCAGCGGGGAGTCACCTAAAGCTTAACAGCCAATGGGAGGAGCTTTTGATGCAAATACAATTGGAAGCTTCCCCTGATGTCACCGGGGGTCGTGCCATGGCCCTAGCCACCAGCAGGGCATCGGACAGGATCCACGACCACAGGATTCCTTTAACAGAATACCCAACAAGGGGAGGGGTAGGTGATGGCCACAACCTGCCCTCCAACACACGACACATATTCCAATGCCTAACCGCCAATACCCAATTTGCTACGAGGTAGGCGAAAAACCAAGAGGCTGTTGCCAATTTGCCAAATGGATAAAAAATTCCTACCAGGCCCTCTGGGCAACCGGGGCAACCAACCAAAGTCCATAAAAGTCCATAGCAAGGTCAAAAGCATAAATATGACCTAAAGGGAGGGTGGGCGTGTGATCCGACTGTTATGTACTGAAGTTCTCACCCTGGGCCAGCAGGGGGATACTGTAGATAGTTATGCAAATAAGGGATCGAAAGTGACGTTCAGTGATTGGATAGTTTTAGAAAATTGTTACAGTTACGTTGTACTGGAGCTCTATATAAGCAGGCTGACTGAATCCTTCAGTTCAGTTCTGTTCTGGCCTGTGAATAAACAAGAGCTATTTGAAGAATCGCGGTGTCATCTGATATGTTCACCCACAACTTAACACCGACGACTCCAGGCAGCAGCATGTGGGCACGGTTGGCTGGCTGATGGGCACGGCACAGCAGCCGGTAAACTGACGCAGGGGGCCGAGTATGCCCTCTGCCAACATGGGAACCAGCTCCCGCTCACAACTCCTCCCCTCTGGTAGGAGGAGAGGCTTTATTATTCCGAAAAAGAAAAGTATTCTGTCTCCTCCTTTCTTCTGTGTGCCAAGGCAAAGCAGGAGGTCTCTGTTCCTGGTGATATAATACCACAAAGTTCTACTACGTGTCTTCAAGTACTGCGTGGCCTTTTGATGCTCAGTGGAGTTTTTTTAGGACACGATTTTGATTTAACACTATATTGTAACAGTTAAATTAACTTGTAGAGAATGAACAAAGATAAACAGACAGGTGGACAAATGGGAATAACTACCAGTGAATCTCTTTATTTTATGTTCTCTGATTTGTGTTCTGAGTAATGCTTTTGTAGCGTTCTGGGCCTTGGAGGAGCATTTGGATGCTTCTAGAAGTTAATAAATTTTATTGCTTGTTTAAACAGCACCCTTGCCATTATGAGACCTGCTCCTGTAAACTACACTGAGGAAATCCATTAAAGAAAATCCATTCAAGTGCAGATTGTAAATAAACTCTAATTTTCTCTTGAATCAACCGCCACAATCTTATTCCCTTTAGAGTCTTCATTTTCAAGTTGGTGATCACTGGACAACGCTCTTTTCTTTCACTGCAAGCTGAAAGAGAACAGATGCTGGGAATATGCCGCTCCCACTCTAGAGTGGGGCTGAATTTGCCACACACACACCCCTCCTGGGTCAGGCCTTGTGCAGTTTATCCTGGAACAGAAGTTGTTATGAGAGACATGGGTTTTAGTATCCAACTGGGAATGGGTGGCTGCCCTCCAGCTGCTGCTTCTCTTCTATTCTGGCAGCACCTTCCCTCCCTATATAGTGTAGGCTTTGCTAGTCATTGTTTATGGGGCAGAGTAGGAATTTTTGGGGGAAGCCACTGATTGGCCTTTGGAACACCTCTTTTTTTGCCTGCATCACACTGTAGGGTAATTCTAATTGGCTTGGAGTGGCTTAAGTTGGCATGAGCATGTGAGGACATTTTGATTGGTTATACCCAAGGTATTATTGGGTTAAGGGCCCTCTTTGATCACCTCCCACAGCCTTTGGCTTAAGTATTCCTTGGGGGTGCCCTTTAGGCATGTACTGGACTGTGCTGTAAAACAAATGCCTTGGACTGAATCCCGAAACAAAGATATAACAAGTGAAGCTGGCATGAAATAGTTATAATATTACCTGTCTTGGTTTGTACCAGACAGTAGCCACCTAGCTGCTGCATTCTTGATAAATTTGATGTTTTATTTTCTCCTTTAAAAAAATAAATATACCTTAAACATGGCACACAGTTGGGTGTGGTGTATATTATAGAAAAAGGCAAGTAGCTTTATTTTGCAAAGCCCACATGCTTACCATGGGGAGCCAGCCACAAACATGGAATGCCTGCACTGGTGTGGACTTGTGAAAAACCAGCAGAGACTAAAGCTGCAATCCTATACCCACTTCCCTGGGAGTAAATGTATGGAACTCAATGGGTTTGTTGAACTCATTGAAGTGCTATACGTAGGCTTGCACTGTAAGGCTGCAATTCTGTGCATATGACCTGGAAGTCAGTGAGATGTACTTTTGAGTAGACACTGTATTGCATCTGCCCTTTTCTTCTATAGGGATTAGATTTGTGGAAATGGCACACAAACCTCCTTAACTAGAATTGCCTAGAAGTTGCTTTGCACACTGATATTGCATCTCTGCACTGACATCTCTTTCTGCAGTGTCAGCATAATGCTGTTATCTTTTGTGATGTCGTGTCAGCACAGGCGTCTGTACTCTATCTTTTATACATATATATTCAATCCTAGGTGCAGAAAAGGGTATCTAACTTCTTTATGGTACTTCCTTTATGGTAGTTAGTTCAAGTGCTCTGGCACAGTCAACAGAGCAAATGACACACTTCTGTGTCACTAGATTTGTGCATTCAATTAATGGAATTCCTCAAGATAAATTGTTCTAATTATATTTGAAGTAGGAGTCTATTCCAGTTGGCTTATTTGTATTTTGTGTGTATCTTGAAAGGCATATTGCAATATTGCATCCTGGGTGGTATTGGTGTATAGTCTACCTTAAACTAAGGATGTGTGCAAATTACTGTTTACTCTGACTTCAGCACACTCCTACATGTACACATTACATTACCCACAATCTAAAGGTACTCTGTAGTTTCTTGTGAAATATTGCTGTTTAACGTGCTCCCTACCCCCACCACCAGCTTTCATCTAACTTGAAAATTGTAGCCATGTTGAATTTGTAGTAAAGCACAGGTGTGTACATTTGAGAAACTGACCTATCCTTCCAGTAGATGATGTGTTCAACGTTGTGTCCACCCAGCTACTGGCATCCCCACCCTAGCTGTAATCCATGTCACCCCTTTGACTCTGTCAGTGACAGAACCCTGATGTTGGTTGGGCTAAGGTTTCAGAGGATCGAGAAGTGACAGGGCTGGTGGTTAATATCCAACACTGGATTTTGATCTCTGAGCTCCATCCCTGATGTCAGAGGATAAGTGATTATAAAATTGCAGCCTCAATCACCATGATAATTATGAGAGGAGTAGGAAGAGGAAGGGGAAGGGGAAGAAAGAGGTGGAATTGCCACACTTTCTTTTTCCCTGATGTCAGAGATGGAGATCCCATCTGCACTATGGCCCTCAAGATGCTTTTCCAAGGACTATTGGATGACACCTTAAATTTCCAATTAAACTCAGACAGAATTCTGTGTATGGTTTTCCATAAATTTCAGTGGTAACCCATCATTTCTTCATGTATTGGTTATTCCTCTTTTCCACGGCAGTTAGAAACAATATAGATAGATAGATAGATAGGTAGATAGATAGATAGATAGATATAGATAGATATAGATATAGATATAGATATAGATATAGATATATAAAACCAACCCAAAGCATAAGGTGGCATTTTGCATAGCAGGACAACAAAATGCACAAGCGCCTTTTGTCTTTGTTTGGCTATTTAAAGCTGACATTCCTGACCATGGGAAGTTTAGGTTGAAAACAGCCATTGCTTAGTTTGTATAAACAACCCTCTAGAAATGCTTGCGCATTTAAATGGTCTAGGAGTAATGCTGAGCTGCAAGAAAACTAAATAGCAAATAAAAAAGCAATAAGGCTTTAAAATCTAGTTTGGGGCCACCCTCTGAGCTGCAGACAGTACAATATTAAGGCCAAACTACATATTATGTGCGAGATCTCTGATCTCCCAACAAATGTATTTTCACTAAGCAGCCGCCTCAGAGGCCCCAAAATTGGATTGAAGCATCAGTGCTGGGGGAAAGGGATTTAACCCTGTCCTATGTGCTGTCAAAATCCCCCTCAGCTGCTGTGTAGCTCACTGTGGGAAAATACAGGCACCTGCATTTTTCTCCCCGAGGGGGCGAAATTTAAATTCAGAAAATGGCGGGGAGGAAAGGTTGTCCTTCCTTCCCCCTGTAGTGCTGCTCTAATCCAATTCACACAAAAACCTGTGCATACCCACACCTCCCCAGCAACACACCACCAGCACGACTGTGCTAGCTTTTAAGTGAAAATGACACTTTGGGAGATCAGTCAAAGATATGCTGCATAATGTGAAGTTTAGTGCCTTCCAGTGACGTGAATGAATTAGGATACGCGGGGAAAGTTAGTGTACCTCACCTTTCTGGGTCAGTTTTCGGTGTAGATTCCTTTAAGCTTTCTGCCCAGCCTGGCAATGTGAAAGCATCTAACCCTTCCTAATCTTGCCGCGGCTTTCTGTTTCTCACACAAAGTCGGCTGGTGGTTGCTAGGCAACCGGAACTGCCAAGTTCCATATGGAGGCTAGATATTAATGGCCATTACACACTTCCCTCACATCAAAATTAATAGGGAAGAAAATGTTACAGCAAGGTTGGGTTTGTGTGTGTGTATATATATATATTAGAGAACTTGTGAACAGGACAACAACAATAATATAGGCAAAGGGGTTAACCCTGGCAAGAATGTTCCTAGTTTTGTGTGTGCACAAGCCTGTGCCACTAAGAAACATTGGGGAAAGATAAATAGCATTAGGTCAGCATGGGAAAGATTTTATTTATTAGTCCTACATATCTATATTGATTATTGGACTGCTTTTGCTGCCTGTCAAGAGATGACTGAAAAAATTGCATAAAAACATGTTGTTTATAATAATAGTAGCAGCAGTAGCAGTAGTGGTGATGCTATCATTTCTATTATTTTGCTTAATGTTCCTGCCTGTTTTCAAGAACTAAATGTATGGGAATGAAAACATATTTCAGCACTGTGGAATAGACACTTTCACTAAGGCTCCATTACCAGACCAGATAATCTGGTAAAGCAGTTAGATAACTCTTAACTAGCAAGAGGTGAACTGAGTTGAGATTTCCTTGCCTCTCTAACAAAAGATGAAGTTGTTCTGTCTCTGTAATGCAGTTTCAGAGGAACCAAATCTCATTAAAGCAGGGATGGTGAATCTCAGGGTCAGGGGCCATATACTGTCCTCAGGACTTCCCTATTTGACTCTCAGATGGCTCTCCCTAGTCCACACATCCACTGCACTGCCTACTTTTGCATTGGGACCTAGAAGTTGCTCCTGATGGAACTGGGACTGAAAAAAGGTCCCCACCAGTGTATTAGGGTTTTGCTCCCAAGCAGTCGGGAGTACAAGAAAGCTGTCCTATTTTGAAAGTTCTACCACTGTATGCTCTTTCTGACCTAACCCATTGGCTTTTCCCACTTAAAGAGTGGTGCTGAACTCTGACTTTTTGGCCTAGTTCAATTTACACATGCCATCAGTAGTTGGCACCATTGGAGACTTCCCAAGGCCCACCCTCCAACAGAAGACGCACTAACTGCAGGTGATTACAGAAGTCTATCCACTGCAGTGATAAAAACAAATGAAGTTCTACTGCAAAATGACTTTGCTAGGAAACGAAACGTAGATGGCTTTGTAGATAGTGATGAACTCCCCGCATTTTGTAGTGTTTACAGTCCCAATTGTACAAACAGAACCTAATATAGCAAGCTTGCAAAAAAAAACTGTGGCGATGTTACAGGAGACAGATCTTTGGTTGTATTAAACTTAACTTACCAATATTCACATGTCCCTCTGTCGCATGGAAGAAGGGATGTGCAATCCTTTTACCAGTCAAAGACAACAACAAAGAAAAATCAATGCTGCCAACACCAGTTATAATCGGTAGTTGCAAAACTTCATTACTGCTGGGAAGTTCATTGTAGGCAATACAGCAATATATGTGTACATATATTTGAAATTGTCTTGATTACTTTTTGGACATGTTTGTACCCCCAGGATTGTATCCTCCTTAATCATGGATTATTTTCAAATGCTTGTGCTGAAGAATTAAGCCAGAAGCTATACTTAGAATGGGAGCTATTAGACAATAAGTTGATAGAGAATTGTCTTAGACACTTTAATTTCTATATTGTTCAATTAACCAAATAATTTCAAGGTGTTTTGCATCCACTTATGCAAATATTGCAATTACCATATGTAACAGCAGAGCCCCAAACCTTCCTCTGCCTTAAATATTTCTTATCTATTGATATATTTATTTTTCTTTCACCCAGCAAAGTATGGAAGGATCTTCTCATCAATGATTCAGTTGATAGGTGGTAGGATCTGCCAGTTTCAGTACCCTCAGTTTCTCATTTTCCCAGTCTTAAATTCAGCTCTTCATTGTGCAGCAATATGCATTTAAAAAATAAATCCTTAAGGGCTAAGGAGCAGGACTTTTTCTTTGATAGCAACCACTCCACAGAATCAACAGCTAAGGGGAAACATTTGTCTTCTTTCACCAACCAGTGAAAATCTACCTCTTTCTTCAAGCTTTTCCAATATCAGTTTGATTTTTAAATTATTATTACAGTTGGTATTTGCTGAGTTGTTCGTTTTATCTATTTTTTTTAAAAAAATGCATTTCATTTGCTGCTTTATTGTATCTTTTTCTTTGTGTAACTATATATTATTATTTTTCCTGCACAAAAGCAAACAACACATTCAATCAATAATAGTGAAAATATTATTTTTCAGAAATATTATAGGAATGTAGCAGTAATGGATGACAGAATTTTCTTCTGCGTTTGTGAGCCTAGAGACAATCTGTTTCTATTTTGGTAAAGCATGATGTGAAAGAAATATTATGTTGCTATAAAAGAAAAAGAAAAACGTAAAGCATCATTTCAGGTTTTGGTTCTTTTTGCATGCTGCTTTGTCCATTTTTATATCTCACGAAAGCATTCTGGTTATCCTTGCTATGCAATATTTAAGAAGGGACTAGGATTTTGATTTTATTTCCCCTCCAGTAATCTTCATTTGAACACAACAGAGATAAAGAGTTTCCGTGGCTTACTTTCTCTGAGTGTTTCATGCAGACTCTTTTTCTTTTTGAAATCCAAAAATAAGAGTTAGTAGTTGAGGGGCTCTGTTTAATAGCTATTTCAACATAAATTAATCTACATCACTATCAGCCAGTACCACAACACAATTAAGCCAAACCATTTCACTTAAGTCTAATTTAATCCTATTAAATCCAACAGAAACACAGCATTTTAAATCTACATCTCCACCAACATCCAAACTGAATGTTCAAAAAGAAAACCAGTTAACGGAAGCAGTTTACCAACCCCCCTTCCAGTGCAGTCCCCTTCATTTAAACAGCCTGTGCAGCCTATTCCACAGTGACATTTTGCTGCATGGTTGTGGAGCTGGAAGGAGAAGCTGGAAGGGAATCAGCCTCAGACTCCAGCAGTGATGGTAGACCACAGTAGTCCATGTATTGGTAACCCCCAGGCTGCCCTTGGACTTGGTCTGGAAGCTCCAGCTGGTGAAGAGTGTGTCAGCAAGACTTCTAATGGTGCTACATAACTGCCAACATGGGACACCACTGTTAAAACAGTTGCACTGGTTGACCATCTACAACTGAGCCAGATTCAAGGTCCTTGCATTTATTTACAAGACAGCTTAGGTCCAGGATAACTTAGGGACAGCCTGAACCCTTCTATCCCACCTCAGTCACTGAGATCATCTGTAGGAGCATAGCTGGTTGTTCCATGAATTGATCAGGCTCATGTGACATCAACATGAAACCAAGCCTTCAGGGTTATGGGGGATGTTCCTCCAATAGAGATTCAGCAGGCACCGTCTGTATTGACTTTCAAGTGTTTGTTGCCATGCTTAAGCAGACAATTAAAAATAAAGCTTTTCCATAATAGTCAGCTGGTAATGATTTTTTATTTTATTTCTTTGCTTTAGTCTTATTGCATTTTAATGGTTGTGAACCACATTGATTTTTTAAAAAAATGAAATTGTGGTATAGAAATATTTTTTTAATATAAATAAATAAAACAAGAACCACATCTGCAGGCTGGCACAATGCAGAAGTGCTATATGTGAGGGCTCATTCTCAAGTGGGGCAACTGGTGCATCAACTGAATCAGAGTCCTGCTCAGTCGGACACTGGGCCCCTCAGGCAGATGGCATGTCAGAAATGGCCTAAGCTGTCTTTGCATTTTTTATTTTATTTTATTTTATTTATTTTATTTTATTTTATTTTATTTTTAAAAAAAATAAATCAAATTGTTTCAGCATTCCTTTGTTTGGTTTTTTTCTTCTTCTTACTAACAGCAAGTTGTAAACGGAGCCTTCATCAGCATATATATGGCACTGAAGCCTATTGAGTGTAATCATGACTCTTATTGTTCTTCTCGAAGAGAAAAGGGATAGAGCTCCACATGAGTTTTTAAAATGCAGAGGTTCTTGCAAGGCGAATAAGACATGTTTGTTCCATGGCAGATATTTGCATGGGTAGAAAGGCACTGTGTTGCACAAGGCAGTGCTTTTTTCTGGGGGTACTCAAGGGTATGCAGTACCAGCACCTTTTTTCAAATGTTAAAAGTGAGCACCTTTTCTTTCTTTCTTTCTTTCTTTCTTTCTTTCTTTCTTTCTTTCTTTAAGAAATGGCACAAGGTAATAACAACATCCTCAGTGCCTTAGCACTCCGCCATCTCCCAAAGTCTTTGGGCTGCTCTCAGTTATGACAAAGTGAGTTCTAAAGAGGGTTTATTCATAACTGTTGCTTTTCTTTGCCCAAGAGCCCCTTATGGGCTCCAGTGAAAGTAGTTCTGGGTGTTAACCACACTTTATTGTTGGCATAGCATGCCACATTAGAGGACATTTCAACTTTGTGAGGATAAACACAGCCATAACTCTCAGCATGTCATGCAGCACAGACTTCTCTGACAGAATAAAACATAGGTTCCTTGTAATTCTGGGTTCTTGCGTGGAACCAAAGGTGAGGAGTATTATATCCAAATAGCACTGTGTTTGGAAACATAGCAACTAAGGATCATTCCAGTACTTTTATTCCAGCTAGCTGAGCCAGCATGACTATAAGTACATTGTGTTCTAAAGCAAGAGGCTATGCGGAAAGCAACCTAAGAATTCAAGCCATAAATAAAGGGGGAAAGGGGGCATGTTCCAAATTGATTTGTATGGACTTCTGAAAAGTGGAGCCACAAAAACCATACTTTGTACCAATGGTTGTTTGAGCAGCTGTGAAATATGTATTTTCAGTGCCCATCTGAGAATGTTAGAAAGAATGTGGATTTCGTTGCACTTTTTTGACATTTTGTGTCTCTTTAAATTTATGTGTATGTGTGTGAGAAAGAAAGAGAGACAGAGATCTGTATTTTTGCGATCTGGAGATGGAATAGCTGGTTCTTTGCTCAAGTGCTGCATTCAT